CGAGTCGATCGGACTCGGAGAACACCCGGCCGTTATCAGAGTCAGTCAGCGCTGTGCGTGTGTTGTTTTGTAACTTTCAACTTGTAAAATTAGGATGAGAAAAGTGTGAGTCGGTAATTTGAAATAAGGTGGAGAAAAAAAACAAAAAAAACACGAGCGATGTCATCAGAAGCAGGGTGGGCGGAGTTAATGCACACGCACGGGGATAATGGATACCTTCATGAGTGATGTGAGAGCACAGAGATGATAGCAAATAAGTAAAGCTAACGTCAGCCCATATGGCACTGGACGAGCAATCGTTATTATAATCCAAATGGGCAAACAGTCTAAATTATTATGCAAGTTGATTCGAGATACAAAAAATGCAAAACTGCAAAGTCGCATTTGTCATTCGTCACCGTGACAGCAAGTGGACTTTTGAAACTGGAATAATGAGTGGATTACGCATTTCAATTGGCAAGAGAGGAATAACACGGATGGAACTTTCTTGGCAAGGAGGATTGTGTGCATCACAGTCAGGTACAAGGGAGAAGGCTTCTTATATTAGGTAAGACAAAAAGTGTAATTTTCGCAACTTGTTTATCGACTTGTTAATAGCAATTTGCTGTGGAATATGTGCCGATTGGGTCCAGTCGGGTCTGTGTCTTCCCGGCCGGGTTCGGGTCCATCTTTCAAATAATTGACGGTCCGCGTCGGTTCCGGGTAGTACATTTTTGACATTTCTCGGTTCTGCACGGGCCCGGGTCCAACTTTCAAAATAATAGACGGGTCCGGGTCGGTTCAGTGTAGCACATTTACGGGTCTCTTCGGGTTCGGGTACGAATTTTTGGACCTGTCTAGACATCTAGTTCACATGCCTGTTTGTAGCACTCTTTATCATTTAAATATTTGCTTCCCACCATGCACATGCATGACACTTTCTTTAAACAAAATATATATTTAAAAAAATGTTAGCACTGTTATCACAACAAAAAACAAGAAGAATAATTTTTCATACTATATGCGGCAGATAAAGATATGCAATAACTATAAATTCATTCCTTAATCCACCTAACACAAATCATTTCTAAAAAAACTAAACTGCAAATACACACTTTTGAAACATCACTGTGGTTATGACATCACAACCATGAACATATCACTGCCTACACTTACATATTGTTGCGTCCTCGATATTCAGCGTTCTGCCGGTCAATAGCCAATCATAACAGAAGTCATTTACATATAAAAAACAAAAATGGTACAGTAGCAATTAAATAAATACATAAATGCTCTCTAAGGTCAGACAGTGGGTAGAAAATGGTCATATAAAATTAAAGACTCAAAACTATAAAACTAAAATTAGACGAAGCAGATTAATGGTCCTTCTAAAACAATCAACATTTAGTAGAAAATAAATCCCCTAAATACGTCTATTTTTGACATTCATTTGATTTGAAATCCAGTTTACACACTAAAAACAACCCTCTTCTCCATCCACCGGAACAGAACAGCCTGGTTTGTTGGTAAATGGTTCAACTTATGGCTGGTATCATGTTTCCTATGTCTCCTAAAGTGCCATCTGGTGCCAAGAGGACAAACAGCACAAACGAAATGTTTCAGTGCATTATGGGTGAACATTAAAAAAAAATTTTAAAAAAAAAGCAAGCAAGAATTCAGAAATTGATAAAACTAAACCTCATCTGTATATTGGCTTTCTACAAAAAATCGCACAGAGAAAATTGTGTGCATGTTGATACTGCATATCATGAATATTCATTTAGATGTAACTGCCTTTTTATATGTATATCCTTTAATTTAAGTGCTTTCAACAGCAGAGTTGTTTTCTATTAAGAGCTCTTGACTCTTTCTAATAGAAGTCACAATCAGACTGTCTGGTAACGCAGGGTCATTTTCAGCCAAATGAATGCGATGATGCAGAACATACACAGAGATACACACACAAACATCCAAGCACAGATTGTAAGTGGCACAAAAGTAAGCTGCACTCACATCAGCCGAGGCATTGGGCACACAAAAATCCATTTGGCCCCACAGAAGTCGAGGGTACTCATCCCCTATCTGTACAAGCACAGCCATCCATAGTCCGCTCCAGCCAAGCCATGCTGAAAGCACAGACAATTACTACACTTAATCCAATCAAATGAGATGCTTTTGGGATTAGCAGCATCCGCACATATAATCTCATTTGTGTAAAGAATGGATGAGCAGCTCAGGCCCTGGGTTTAGAGCAGCGGCTGATGTAAATGCTGCTGATAGAAGGTAAAACGAGGGCTGTGACTGACTGGGAATTCTTAGATTCTAATCGAATGGCTAAAGCTAAACTGGGAAAACGCTGCCAGATAATGCCCAGATTAACGAGGGAATTGACACTGAGCGCAGATAAAGTACCTGTTTTCTGCCTCTCCCTCAAGAAAAAAAAAAAAAAAAACACACTCTCTCTATATCTCTATATATTCTCTCCCTCTCTTTAGTTCAATCTGGTTGATCAGCTGGGTGGTTGGGCTGAGGTCAACCTGGTAAAATAAATGATGACTGCTTTGAAAATGTTGAAAATGAATGGAATCCTGCTTTCCCAACGATGTAATTTATCAATACATTAATAAATAATAGATATTTTATCAAATAAGAGTGTAAATGATATCATACAGAATGACTGTAATGCCACATGAAACTGTCTGTAGACTACTGTGGAATTCATAGGATTTAAAAGCACCAAATATACATGTTTAATAGGAGCAAATATTACTGTTTACTAGACAAGAGGCTCCAAACATTTCATTTTGGGTCCTGCTATGAAAGTGTGCTTCACTGGCAGTCTATCATGACTGCTGTTTGCACTGGGGGCGGGGGGAAACAAAACTATTAATTGTTTATTAGACAGTGCCTGCCTGGAAGCCGGACTTCTCTATATGATTTACATTTAGTCTTACAGCAGACTTCCATTTCACAATACTTCAATTAATGTCCACTTTAAAGATTTTAACTAGAAAAGAAAATAGGAATAAACAGCTAGACCTGAAATGTGTCACGGCAGTCTATTTCTAGTACCACTACCAAAATGTTATTGTTCTGCAAATTGTGAGCATAACAGTAAAGTGTATCAAATTTACGGTAAAATAAAGGACAGCGAAACTTTTTGAACCACAAATTTGCATAGAAATGAGCAAAAACTCAAGAGCAGAGCACAGCTGCAGTCTGTTTAGAGTGAGGGATATTTATAGGATAAGGGAAAGAGAAGGTGCATGAAGGAGCATCTCCGAGAAAGAGGCAGATGACAGATTGGACTGCAAAGTTCTGCCGGTTTTCACTGACAAGAGAGGCATGTCAAAAGTGACCTCAATAACCAGTCTGCTAAACAGACACACAAACTTTCAGACCACACACACTCTTCACACGTCATTGTTCACTGTGCAGCATTTTATGCAGCATGGACATGAGGAAATGCAAAATCTCACATTTACATATGGTGTTATGCCATAGGAATTAGCACACAGAATGCAAACACATGCAAAAACATCCATACTAAGACTCAACTGCCACATTCAGCCGCTCATACAGTACATCTCTATTCACAATCAGTAAAGTTTTAAAATAGGTCAGAACCAACTGCCTTTTTATTGTCTCCAGTAACACATATTGCCATGACTGTAACAACTGATCTCCAGTCAAGACAGTGACTAAAAGTTTAAAGTTGACATTTTGATGCCATTTTTTAAAGATAATTTTAACTAGTTTAAAACAATGGTTCTCAACCACGGGGCCGGGACCCATTAGATGGCCTCAACTCATTTCCAAGTGGGACGCAAAAACGACTTAAAATTATTATAAATAAGACAAAACAAGTTAAAATAAAAAAATTAAATTTAAAAAAGACTTATTTTAATTTGATCTTTCAACAACTTTAATTTTAAATTAAATTGAAAATATGATTTTTTTTCTAGTTATCTCAGGCTCTAAAATATTTTATTTGGCAGAAATTGGCAGTAATTTATGAATAATAATAGACATTGTCACTGAGAAGCACTGGTTTAAAACTATCCAAACACACAAATCCTCTATAGACTCTATAGAGCAAATGTTTGTCTGAATGGGTTCTTCTAGATGACATTAGAGGTGTAGAAATTAAACACTCCAGCTTTAATAAAGACTGGAATAAGATGGGAAATTGTTGTTTACCTGTCGTTGTCCACTGGTCTGAAGCCTGGCAGGATGTGTCTGAAACTGCTGTTCCTGTCCAGTTTAGGCTGACTCTTAGTCCGCTTTATTGAGCCCTTTAACCTGCGACTCAAAAACCCCTAATGAGGAAATGACAGAGAATAAGAGAGACATTATAATAGTCACAGGCAGTGAAAAAAAAAAACTTATTTCATCTTGATCTTTCACCACCATTTCATACATTCACTCTCTCGTTAATTATCCCACATTATACACCCTTTTTCTGTGAAAGCACCTGTCACATTTTTGCAGCTCAAGACTCAACTTCCTTTAGGCACCAGTTACCATGGAGACTGCAGGTTGGCATCAAGGGCATGGAAAGGAAAGGGAGGCATAAAGTGAGAAAGAGTGAAAAAGAAAAAATGAAAGCGAGAGCGTGAAGTACCGAAAGACAAGAATGAGAGTCAAGGACAAAATACGATCCGCTCATCCTCACTGTAACGCTGCTATAGTAGAAATAAAATAAAAAAAACGAGAATGTGAGAAAGTAAGTGTGAGAAATGCAACGGAGAAAGAATAAGAAAAGGTGTGGAAAGAGTTTCTGGAGGAAAAGAGAGGCGAGTCAAGAGACATGAGAAGTTTCTGACAAAAACTGTTAGTAAACAAACAGAAAGCAGGCCGTTCCCCCCTACCAATTAACACATCTGCATATTCTACATAATTAAAGCACCCTACTGATTACTATTCACACAGACATCTCTTAATCACAGAGCAATCAGTCAGAGTATTGCAGCCTACCGTTCGCTAGCATCGAAAGAAAACAAAATCAAATCAGAAGAGGACTGAGAGAGACAATGACAAGAAGACATCTGAATAATAAACAAGCTCCCCTGTCCAAACATAACATGAATTGCAAAAATATTGAAGCAGTAAGCTTCAAAGCTTGCTTCAAAGAAGGTCATGAGTTTATAATTTCATGTTGCCAGGTTGTCATGTCAAGTGCTCTGAATAGAGTAGAGAGCATTGATGATCGGTTTGACAGATATTTCCTAAATTAATTGATTTTCAGCATTTGGTGGATCTCTGAAGAACAGCGCCAAACAACGATTTTTAGTTGAGAGTTACAATACCGGTTTACTATGTTAATATGTTCAAATGTAATTTATTCCTGTGATGGCAAAGCTAAATTTTCAGCAGCCATTACTCCAGTCTTCAGTGTCGCATAAGCATCACTGGTAGAAATTGGAGAAGACTCAGGTGGTGCTCTGGTGAAAAACAAAACAAAATATATGTGTAAATTTAACAACAGCTGGATGGAAGAATTCAATTTCATGTCTCAAAGCCATATCGACTGCCCACGCCTTTTGCAAAGTGTTCACTGATTTTAATATCAGACACGGTGGGAAAAATGACGTTACTCAGCACTTTAAATCACAACGGCTCAACTGTGCAGCGGAGGCACAGAAGGGCACACCGGCCAGTGTTAAACACTCTCCTGCAGTGTGTGTTTCATTCATACCCAAAACTCGAGGCCGCTCTCACGCAGAAAGTCCAAAACAGACTCATAGATGTAATATCTCATGACGTGCCAGGAAATCCCTAATATGGACAAAGGCATCCAGCTATCACTGTAGCTGAGCTGAACAAAATACGTAAAGACAATACATGCACGATTGCGACAATTTATAGTTTGTGTGTGTTTTTCCAAGTCATCGCCAGGTAATAAATGAAGTATCTGAATAATATATTTTCTGCAATAAAAATGAAAAAAAAAAAAAGTGTAGTGAAAAAAAGTGTAGTATATAAACAAATCATAAAATTGCCATTAGACAAAAAAAAAGCGAATTATTGCATTTGACATTTCTGTCCCCCTCACTTCTAAAATGATGGCATCCATCAACTCTGCTAAAATGTACGTAGTGCCAGTATGTGTGCTCATTGGCGCCCCCTCGGCGAGCGCCTAGTTTGTCTATGCCTAGAAACGGGTCTGCATTGATTCTACCTCTTACCAGCATTTATAAAAACTGCTCTCATGTTCGATTATTGCAAAGACCCATTCGTACCAAGGACAATAACTATAACTGTAAAGTTTAAATAATTGTTCTAATTCTATGTGAATATTACAGTCCACAACACAACTATAACATTAACGACACAGAGCAACAATATCAGTGTAATCACTTTCAAAATGTTTTTTTTTTTTTCCAGCTAATGAATGATAAAAACATTGACAGCCTATCAGAATCCACGTGACTTGAGCCTGAATGAGCTTGAGTGTTTAAAGCAGCAGATGAAATAACTGCAACACACTCTTATAATAAACAGAACATTATCATCTTTGGTGTGGATGCCAATACATTTATCGTTATAGTTATCTTTCTTGGCGTAAATGGGCCTTAACCATTTTATTTTAAACTATTGCACACAATATCATATGCACACAGATGTAAAAAATCTGATTAAATGAAAAATAATCGAATCAGTTATCAAAACAGTGTTCGTTGTAGCCCTAGTAAATAATTCAGTCATGGTATGCAATGTCAAACCGTGTTAATAAGCAACTATCGATCAGGTCTGTCAAACAGGTCATAGATGTTGACAGTCAATATCCAAGGCCGGACCAAGGTCACATGTGGCCCTCGGGCACACATTTTTGCAGGATTCCATCATCATCCTTAGTTCTACATTAAACCACAAGGATGCTTTGGCTAAACAAATTACGAGACACATTTGACCTTTTCACAAATTGAAAGCAGATGGGAAAGCCTGGGTTAGGTGCAAGTGGTAGAAATTAATTAAAGCCTATATCAAATAGCAGCCAGGAGCAAATCGATGGAAAATTACCTGAAATACATTTGCATGAAGCCATTTTTTTATTATAATAGCGTATTCATATGATTATATCTAGCTAAATAATACCACTTTAAATACATTTCCCAATGCCTTGTCACTTGTCAACTGTATAAAGTATGTCAGGCATCCACTGAAACTCCAATAAAAGGGTCAGATACAGTTTAACACACAACAAACCTGAGGCTACTGAGTAACTCATCGATCCAAAGAAAAAAAACACCAGTAAACTTTCTCTGTGTTCTTCTGCTTTTCCCACACTCCATCTTTAGCACACACACACAGCACCGATTAGTTCACAGAGTGGGTTTTATACTACCGTAGAAACATTTGAAAGCATTCACAAAACAAATCTATTCTTCCTTCTTTCTTGATATGTACAGTAATTATATCACTATTTCTCTCATATAAGAAGGTCATTCGATACATCTGCTCATGCCTCACGGTCAAAACCAGACCTTGTATTAATGGTGTTATTCATGCACAGTGAATAAGAGTTCATAAAGGAGGATAAAATAATGCACTCAGAGAAAGAAAGGGGAGAAAAATTACATGAGCTCCTGATTCCAAAGGGTACAGTACCATTGCCTACCAGCGGGGGGAGCAGGGGGATTATAATAAGCAATAATAAAGCGCTATTTAAATGCATCAACAAATAAAGCACTATATAAATGCATCATTCATTCATTCATTCATTCATTCATATAATTACTTCCCTAATTGCCCATGTACTGACCTAACAATCAAGGTATGTGGCATCTTCCATTCATTCATCTAAAACAATGACATCTAAGGCTTCCATTCTTCACCTTGAACCTGTTCAAACATGTACAGCACTTGGAAGAACTATGGTGAAGCTTCATTGTTCTCTGATCATGGATGATTTGATTTCACAGGAGATATTTGCAAACTATGCTCTAGGCTAGACAAGTAATTGGGCCTGAAACTGCAGAAGCTCAGAGGTCAAGTGGCCCTCGAGTCACCTCAGAGATCTCATTTAAATGTAATTACATTTGCATTCAGGAAATGATAAGCCACAAACACACATAAAAAGCCCATATGGACACTTTGTAGAACTGTATTTTATACAGAGGGTGAAACTACTGAATACCACCTGCTGTTGATTCACTTCCGCAACTGGCATATAATGTGAGCCTCAATTTGAAACGATTGCTAACAGACTGCCTTTCAATCATGAGAAGTTTTTCATCCTTTGCTAATAGAGCTCACGCTCATAAATATATCATTACAACTTCATACCAATTACAGTGAGCATTTGAACGCTGTTAAATCTTCCTTGATGCCCATCAATAAAACATTCTCTTCAAATGGAGCTTGTTTGGGATACATTTGTCTGTAATTGTGTGTAATATCCTGATGTATAATCTAGCCTTTAAATATAGCCTTGATCCAGACCTCAACTTAATACTTAGAATATTAGGCTTGGTCTAATCCTGTGGTTTTGGGCCGGATCTTGCGTTTCAGCTGTTTGGTTATTTGGCTGAATGTGTTGGTTGAATGTGCACTGGGTTTTTGCTTTTTAACTAAAAATAACACCACAGCTCACATTTATTGCCTCAAGTAGGAAATTAGCATTTGACAAAATGACTTGAAACCTAACGTTTATTAGAACTACAGAGTTTTAATACTAAAGATCTGAAGTAGTAGTAGCAATAAAGATAAGATACATATGGGCACAGTATGCATCGCATCTGGATTCCAGACTGTGTTTGATCAGATGCACACACACTTACACATGACAAACACACATATAATACTCACTGTGACCCTGAAGGGTGTAGCAGCAGCAGCAGTGGGCTCCATTGTGGGCAGGGGTTTGTCAGGGGCAGAGCCTGGCATGCTACGTCTCCGCCCTGTTTTCTCAGGTGGAGAGTCTATGAGACAAGAGGGACAGGGAGAAATTTATTTATTAAAATGACTGTCCCACACACACACACACACACACACACACACACACACACACACACACACACACACACACACACAGAGTATACAGACATTTAATTGTAAAATGCAACTGCCAAGAATAAACCCACGTGCACAAATCCCAGCATAGTGTGGATGTAGACTGTGAGACTCTCACAGAATGTAATCACATAGGCAGATACCACATAAACAATCACCATGCCAACACATCCATTCAGTGACTGATCTTCCACTGTCATAATGTAAGAGTTGTATGTCACAGATGTCCTAATAGCTCATTCATAAAGTCATCAAATCTCTACCTCATTGTGCCACCAGTACACAAAATTCTTAAATCCTCCCACTGTTCCTGACTGCCCTTCATAATTCACATGCTGGGAAAAGTGCAGGAGTATGAATTCTTTTCAAGCATCTTCTCACCCAATTTCCTAGAACTGGTATGTTGTGTGGACTGGGAAACAACATGGACATGACCATTCTTTAAGTTCAAGATTTTACTATAGGTTCAAACAAAGGGAAAGTCCTATGACTGTTCGCTATTCATTTAATTATTTTTAGACCATTTTAGCTCATTTTCAGCTTATTTTGCAGTTCACTTACAGTACTTAATAATAAACAGCCGTGGCCAAAAGTTTTGAGAATGACACAAATATTAACTTTCACAAAGTCTGCTGCTACAATGTTTTTAGATCTTTTTGTCAGATGTTACTATGGTATACTGAAGTATAATTACAAGAATTTCATAAATGTCAAAGGCTTTTATTGACAATTACAATAAGTTTATGCAAAGACTCAGTATGCAGTGTTGACCCTTCTTTTTAAAGACCTCTGCAATTCGCCCTGGCATGCTGTCAATCAACTTCTGGGCCACATCCTGACTGATAGCAGCCCATTTTTGCATAATCAATGCTTGGAGTTTGTCAGAATTTGTGGGTTTTTGTTTGTCCACCCGCCTCTTGAGGACTGACCACAAGTCCTCAATGGGATTAAGGTTTGGGGAGTTTCCTGGCCATGGACCCAAAATTGAGAAGTTTTGTTCCCCGAGCCACTTAGTTATCACTTTTGCCTTATGGCAAGGTGCTCCAGCATGCTGGAAAAGGCATTGTTCATCACCAAACTGTTCTTGGATGGTTGGGAGAAGTTTTTGTACCATTCTTTATTCATGGCTGTGTTTTTAGGCAAAATTGTGAGTGAGCCCACTCCCTTGGCTGAGAAGCAACCCCACACATGAATGGTCTCAGGATGCTTTACTGTTGGCATGACACAGGACTGATGGTATCGCTCACCTTTTCTTCTCCGGACAAGCTTTATTCCGGATGCCCCAAACAATCAGAAAGGGGATTCATCAGAGAAAATGACTTTAACCCAGTCCTCAGCAGTCCAATCCCTGTACCTTTCGGAGAATATCAGTCTGTCCCTGATGTTTTTCCTGGAGAGAAGTGGGTTCTTTGCTGCCCTTCTTGACACCAGGCCATCCTCCAAAAGTCTTCGCCTCACTGTGCGTGCAGATGCTCTCACACCAACCTGCTGCCATTCCTGAGCAAGCTCTGCACTGGTGGTGCCCCGATCCCGCAGCTGAATCAACTTTAGGAGACGGTCTTGGTGCTTGCTGTACTTTCTTGGGTGCCCTGAAGCCTTCTTCACAGCAACTGAACCTCTCCCCTTGAAGTTCTTGATGATCCGATAAATTATTGATTTAGGTGCAATCTTACTAGCAGCATTATCCTTGCCTGTGAATCCCTTTTTGTGCAAAGCAATGATAACTGCACGTTTCCTTGCAGGTAACCATAGTTAACAGAGGAAGAACAATGATTTCAAGCACCACCCTCCTTTTAAAGCTTCCAGTCTGTTATTCTAACTCAATCAGCATGACAGAGTGATCTCTAGCCGTGTCCTCATCAACACTCTCACCTGTGTTAATGAGAGAATCACTGACATGATGTCAGCTGGTCCTTTTGTGGCAAGGCTGAAATGCAGTGGAAATGTTTCTGGGATTAAGTTAATTTTCATGGCGAAGAGGAACTTTGCAATTAATTGCAATTCATCTGATCACTCTTCATAACATTCTGTAGTATATGCAAATTGCCATCATAAAAACTGAGGCAGCAGACTTCATTCTCAAAACTTTTGGCCACGGCTGTAGTGTGACAAATACATTTTACAAATATTGTAAAATATAATATTTGTACACTTACTATACATTTTATTAATATTCCATGTAGTCTTTAAGTAGTAATATAAGGTCATAAAGGTTTTACAGAAAAATGTAATTTAAAACACTTTAGCATGTGACACTGCAGACAATGCTGGACAACTACACACTAATATAAACAGAATTTTGAAATGAAAACCAAAAGCATTTCTTGAACAGTGGTCAATAAATCATTAATTTTGCCTATATTATTATCAATGAATTTAAAAGTTGCCCTGTGTATTTTGCTCATGGCAAATAGGAGAAATGAATGATCAACTATGAACAATAGTATATTATAATCTGTCATACTGTAAACTGCATTTAGTCATCAAACATTTATGAAGAGGGAAGACTGTTCAGATGAACCTGAGGGTGTATTCACACCTGTCTTGTTTGGTTCGATTGAATAGAACACAAGATCGTTTCCCCTCTTGGTGCGGATCTTTTTGGCAGGTGTGAATACAGCAATCGCACTCGGGTGCGGACCAAACAACTGTACCGAGACCCAGCTGAAGAGGTGGTCTCGGTCCGCTTCCAAACGAACTCTGGTACGGTTCGTTTAAGGTGTGAATATGACCCGACCTCGATCCGACCCAATTGCAGAAATCACGCTCAGAAACAGACAGCTCACGCATATAGTTTCAATTTGCGTTTCAATGGCTTAAATCACTTGTTTTTAAACCACAATGCTTAAAAGCACATGCAAATGATGAGTTTTATTGACCATGGCGCACAGCAACGTGACGTGAGCGCGCTAAATAGGCTAAAGTTTGCCGCAAAAACTACCATGACCACGTTGGGGGAAAATAGTAATGAGATATTTGAATGATTTATTAATATACTAGTGTTTTATGAGTCAGTGTCGCAATGAAGTTGATGATCCTGACTCGCCATCTCATCATTGGACGCGCCTTTAGAAAGAAATGCATCTTTATGGATTACATAATAAGAGTTTTTGTTTTGGATTTGAATTATTTCGTTTTGTAGTCATTTAAAGCTTTCTATAGATATATTATTCATCGTGTCTGTAAGGAAAATATTCGCAGAGTTTTGGTGCATTTTTGTGAAGCGCTCCTGTGCAAGACAGAGACGGCAAGCGCATCCTATTTCTTTTCTTTATTTTAAGTCGTAATTACAACATCGTATGACATTGTCTCATATGATGCTCATAAGTTTCCTCATATTGCGTTAGTATCTGATAACACCAAATCAGTAAAAGAATAAAAATTGCACTACGAAAGATCTCCATCGTTAGCCTGTTTTTGCACTTCCTGTTTTTCCCTGCTTGAGAATTTCTGTCCAATGAATGGATGACCTTAGCACACGTGTGATTTTGTTTACAATTTCTGGTTCACTTGCAAAAAAGGGCAGTGTGAAAGCGAACCGCACCAAACTAACAAAAAAATCAACACTGTATTTGGTCCAGACCAAAGCAAGTGAACCAGCGGACTTTCCTGGTGTGAATACACCCTGAGACACCCTGCTAGTCTCATAAATGATGGCACGCTTGTGGTCGCTCCTGAAGGTTGTCCACTTCGATCAAGTTTTCAATGGCACACTAGTAATAATGATTACTATTAGTAGTAACGGATAAGTACGAATTGATAGACAAAGGGCAAATGATAACAACATAAAACCTCTATAGCGAGCAGTGCCACTCTGTTGCTATTATTTCACAACAGAACTAGGATGTTACCCAGGAAAGCTGTAGCCGAACATCTGGTTAACCTAGCATACCTAAACACATCTTCTCTCAGATCATGATCGCTTTCAAAACAGATTTTAAAAAGCTAAACAAAGATTTTAAAAAGCTAAACACAAAAATGAATGAAAAAGAAGCAGGTGGAAGTGCAAAGGTCTCACATTATCCTGCTAAAACCCTTCAACAGCAGATTATTAAACTTCAATCAAGTTTCCATCAAGCCCAGTGGCGATGTGTAATGAGAATTCAACAGTGAGGAGCCGTGTAGTTTGATCTGGGAGAGATGGCTTTCACTTTCTCTCAGTGTGTGAGTGTCTGTTTGTTAAAGATATAAGATGTGAAGGAACGCAGCTGTGAGAGACTGAGAGCGAGTGTCTGCTTGAATTGACATCCAAAAACAGTCCTTGTGGCTGCTATGTGTGTGGTTCTAGATTAATGTGAGGATCAGTGTGGTTTCAATCCTGCTTCCCTCAGGAGAAGACCGTTTCACAAGTGTCAACCACCTGTATGTTCAGGAAGAAAACAAAAAAATAAATGCACAAACATAACAACAAACACACACAGGTCTTATAAGACAACATTTATTTAAATGTAACCTATAACATTTATTTATTTGAAAATTATTACCATGGTGCCCTATGACTACTAATTATCACCATAAAGGATTCATTAAAGGTAAAATGAATTCATTCAAGTATGACAAAAATATAGCAGAAGGATTTTTAAATATACATTTAATTATTAATTTTAGAATTTATTATATGATTATAATTCATAAATTAAAATTTATTTACATAAAGTATTTCACAAAATATGGCACAAAATTATTTTTAAATATACATTTTAGAATTTAAAATATGATTATAATCATTTTTAAAAATTAAAATATAAATATCCTAAATTTAAATTTTATATCTTTTTTTTTTTTTGCAAATTATTACCATGGTGCCATGTTGAGAAAAAAAGTACCATGTAATTTTTAGACTGATTAACTAGTCAAATAATAATAAAATAAAATAAATAAAATAATAATAATTTATTCATTCATTTAT